GCTTGCCTTGAGCAAACCAGCTAAAGGACAATACCTAGACCCTAGGTTCAAGCCCTAGGACCAGCACACACACACCCAACACACACACACACACACACACACACACACAGAGTGGTCAGTAGGTTCATTCTTGGTCATGCAACAAATGCTCAAATGAACATGTGTGAAAATGAACATTTCACATGAGATGGAGCCATTGGGAGGTTTATTATGTCAGTGAAAAAGTGACAGGCCTCACTTCCAATGTGTGTGATTGCAATGAGTAGCTGAAAGGTGATAATAAAGGACTTTTAGCACCTCATTGCATACCATCAGCCCATTTAAGGTTTATAGCTGAATGCAATATATTGAATTGCAGCCCATGGGGTCTTTCCTATCTTTAAGCAAACATTGATTTTGCAGAATAAACTTATGGGCTCCTCGAAGTGTGTGTGTGTGTGTGTGTGTGTGTGTGTGTGTGTGTGTGTGTGTGCATTGTGTGTGTGTGTGTGTTAGAGGGTTTTAGAATCAGGTACACATAGCCGGTTTACATTTATGTTAATTCTTAAGTACAGACTAGGTTTATATATATTGCAGCCTGGCATGGTTCTCTATGCTTGTAATCCCAATACTGGGATAGATAGAAGAATCACAAGTCTGAAGCCAGCCTGGGTTACATAGCAAAACCCTGTCAAAAATTTTCAATTTTTTTTTTTACCATTGTAAAGGTAATAGCCTAGTGGATAAAAGCAGCTAGAGTTACAATACTTAATGCCTTGGATTAGTTCTAATCTACTCTTTCTTGTCAGCAGCAAAGGACTTGGTAAAAAAAAGCATAGGTCATCAGTTTTGAATAAAGGTCAACCTGTCTATTAAAACAATAACCAAAAAGGGAATGAGAAATCTTGGTATATAAGTAATCCATCAGTTGTTAATAGTAATATCACACCAAAACACCTTTCAAAATGATTTACCACATATTAAACTCCTATAACTTCATTTTGCACAACGTAGGGGTCTCTCTGTGCGAAGTGAGTAATCCATTCCCATAATACCTTACTTACAAGGCCCTAAAACTTAAAACAAAAACAAAAAAATGACACAAAAAAACCACACACACACACACACACACACACAAACCATTTTGCTTAACAACATACCTGAAACATCCCTTCATCTTTACCATTACCTTTTTCCTTCTCTTCCTGATTATTGAAGGTTTAAATACAAAAAATAATATGCTATAAATATATAGCTAGTGATCAAAAATAGTTTAAATGTATATACTTTCAAAGACTTGGTGAACAAATGCAATTTTGATATTATTTAGTTGATATTACAATTGGCCACTAGATGGCACCATTCTTTAAGCAACGAAGGTGACTTTTCTGAAATTTCTTAATATTGGTTACTCTCATTGTATTTTACTTAATGTTCTCTGTATGGTTCTAGTTACAATACTGAATTTTTTATTAACTGAAAACTCTCTTTAGTCTCTTTACCATTCTAACAAGACTGAAAAATATGAGTGATAGAAGTCTTGTCAGTGAAGCAGCTGCTATAAAAGAACTTAGAACTAAAATACAGTTATTAATTGAGAATCGAGTTGGAATTTATCTTGGAATTTTGAAAATTAAAAATGTATTCTACCTCTTTGTTATACATTTCCCATAGGAAAATTTCTTCCTCTCATTTTCAAAATATTTTTTATTAAACATCATTGTAGTATCTACAATATTAATTATTCACGGTGCTAATTCTGTTTTTCAAGGTTTCTTAGTACTTACTCTAATCTCTTATTTGTGTAGTTTTGATTTGTTGATGCAGATATCTGAATAAAATATATGCCAGGATGCAAAATAAAGTTTTTGTCAGGGATGATGAGCATATTTTCTGAAAATAGTTTATTCTTATCTCGTTCAAATCATTCCTAAAGATCTTCAACTGTCTCACACAAATGAAATACAAAGACACTACTTGGTGCAGACACGGGAGGTAAGACTAGAAGTTGGAAGCATTGTCACTCTGATATCATGTTTAAGGAACTTTTAAGAGTTTGAGAAAATAATAAAAGCAAAACTGAAACTAAGGTTTCCTATAATGAATGTTCTGGCTCTGCCAGATAAACCTTTCGTGCTGCAAAGCTAACTAATTACAATGCAATAGAGAGCAACAAATGTTTCAAAAAAAGAGAAAAGTATGGCTTTCATGCAAATATGGAATGAATGTACAAGAAAACATCTCATAATGATGTTCAGCTGCAATCCACACTCAGGAGGGTGAGGCAGGAGAATGGAAATTTCCAGTCCAACCTAGGCTATATCATGAAACCTTATCATAAAAGCAAAGAGATACCAAAACCAAATAAAATGACAACAAAGAAAACAGGATGGGAGAAAAAAAAGGAAGAAAGAAATGGAGGAAGAGGGAGGGAAGGAATGTAGAAAAGAGGGAGAGAACGTAAATTTAACTAATTAATAGAGGGATAAGATGGGAAGGCCAGTAGAAGATAGAAATTAAAAGATGAAGATAGTCAAATAGTCAAAATTCTGCTGGAAGAAACTTGATGAAATACAAAAATATTGGTTCAAAGTCAAGCTGCACAGAAAAGCTCACAAGTCTTCTCAACAAGCCGAGCACAGTGGCCAGTCCCTGTCATTCGAAGTACATGAAAGGCTGAAATGGGTAGGGCCATAGATCCAAGTCAGTCCAAGCAGAAAAGCTCACATAATTTCATCTCAGTAAGATAAATTGGGTATAGTAATATACATTTGTCACCCCAGCTAGGTTATAAGCCTAAAAGAGGTATACTGTGGTTCAGGATACTAATAAGATTGTACCTCAAAATTCACCTGTGCAAAAGAATACTGGAATTGAGGCTCTTCAGCAGAGAACTAGTACTAGACATTGAGTTCAAACCCTAGCACTGCCAAAAATATATAAAACAAAACAAAAACCAAACATATACATTTGTAGTGAGTTATCAAAACATCTGGGGCTAAGTATTTGTAATTACAAAGTAATAGTTACTAACGAATACACTGTGACATTTGTTCAAATGTCACCCATCTTTTCCCTTCGAATTTTCAAATTTTGAATACTTTTACGTAGCCCCAGGTGAATTGGTCACATATAATCACATATACTAAAATGCTTAAGTGGTTGAACTTAGTACCTTACAGAATTTACCTCACAGAATGTATCTGCAAGTGGACATGCTGGTATTACTTTCCTTTTTTAAATTTTTTTAAAAGCCAGAACTCTGAGAAGTCAGGAACGTTCTTGAGATTCCTCACCAGAAGTGACTAAGTTGAATTATAGTCCTGCTGTAAATAGTCTTCCTCCTGGGAGCACGGACGCCTCATGTTCTTAAACGTTGTGTGGGAGATTTGGGGATTGCACAGAACAAAGCACGTGGGAGCACACTCCTGCTCCTTTCCCCTTTCCAGTTCCTCATTCACGGTCACAGAGACCAAGTTCAAAACCCTGTGCTGGAAAGCTGGACCTAACTCTTAGCATTGGTCTTCTCTAGAGTCTACAGCTTATCTCAACATCCCTTGGAGCTGATGGTGTCTCTATTGAACGGAAGTAAATGGAGAATGTGAAGCGAAGAGGATGGCAAGTCATCACCCAGTGCTAGCAACATCTCTGTAGCACCGATGTGGAACACAACTATGCTAGGTAATATCAATGGGACTGATTAAAAAGTAAACATGAGGGCTGGGAATGTGACTTAGTGGGAGAGTGCTTACCTCCCAAGCTTGAAGCCCTGGGTTTGATTCCTCAATGCTATATACAGAAAAAGCCGGAAGTGGCATTGTGACTCAAGTGATAGCTGCTAGCCTTGAGCAAAAGAAGCTTGGGGACCGTGCTCAGGCCCATAGTTTAAGCCCCAGGACTGGCCAATAAGAAAAAACAAAAAAAAGTAAAGCTGACTTTTGAGCTATGTGTTTTGTTCTCATAAATATATGCTTTGTATTCTTTTCAAAGCATTTATGCCATAGAAATTTAATGTATGGACAAAAATATATCCAAGAAGAAATCTGTGTGACTAAACATCCATCCAAAGAAAATACTCTTTTCACTAATTTTAAAATCTTGTAGTCTTGGAGAAATTTGAGACATGTTCAAATAAATTACAAAGAGCATGTTAAATTCCTTCAGTACTGTGAGATGCTACAAGATCTACTTCAGTTCCTGTAAAAGTGATACCAAACTGCCAGTAGCTGAGAGGATTAAAAAAAAACTAATCAAATATTATTATATTATCTATTGGATGTGTAGACACTGCCCTCATTACACACATTCCAATACAGCAACCATTTATAAGCTCTCTAGAATATTATTTCTTTATCTCCATCCCAAATAAAAATAAAAAGAACCCTGATGAGTTTCCCAGTCAAATAAGAAAGGTGTAAAAGCATTGCAGTATTACATTTGCATCTATACTTGCTCTAAAACTCACAGTGAGTTATATAAAACAGGAAAGTATTACTTTTTATGCAGTTAGTCTGTTGTTCAGTGTTCAGCTTCTTCAGGTTTCATGGCTTATAAAGTCCTTCAGGACAGAAGATAATGCTCGTAAGCCATCCTGTAACATTTATAGCTTTAAAGGTAGATGTAATTTTAATAATAACGAGCCACATTTCAGGCTCTATTAGGCACAGCTCCCGTTGTCTTTGATTTATTCATCTGTGTGAGAAATTTGAAATTTTCTAAGGTCTAATTAAAAAAACAACCTTCAAGTGTCTTTCGCGTTAAACCACTTGCTTTCCACCATTGCAGGACCTGTTTTTTCTCCTATGTGCTCCCTTCTATGATTAAATTTCCTGTTAATACAATTGAATTCTTCAGAAAACATCTCTTTCTGATATGATTTCTGATAATAGAAAAGTAAAAGAATTATAATCTAATCCAGATTTCTGTTGGATAATATCTTTGGGAATTCATGCTAATGGCATGTTATAAAAAAACACATTCATCTGTTCATTACCAAAGAAAAGTCTGAAAATGATACTCACGCAGGTTTAATTGTATAGGCATGTTTTTCATGGACAAAGGCACCAGCAAGACCTCCTGCACCTGAATTTAAATACTGGAGTTGAAATAAGAAGATTCTGTGAGATACATAAATAGATGAGAATGAATAAACAATGTCTTTTATTTCATATTTCTTGAAACGATAACTTTATCATGTCAAAGTATGTTATTATGTGTGGTTTTAAAATCTGTGTCACTTTTTTAAACAGAAAAACAAGAAGGTCTGTGCAACACTTATTTCCAATTAAACACCAGAAAAAAAAAAAAGAATTTGGAACTATGACTCAAATTGGTCTAGCCTTGAGCAAAGCAGCTCAGGAACAGGCCCTGAGTTCTAGCTCCCATGACTGATTGAAAAAATTAATTAATAATAAATAAATAGTAAGGAAATAAACAAATAAACAAAGAATATGAGGTTGGGAAAAATAGCTTATTTTTTTAACACAGGTAGTAAATAGCAGTAATATTTTCTTAAATATTACTACAGTTATTAGAGTTAACAGTGAAGTCTAACTGGTTTAAAGTGCATATATTCAAAGTTTTCTTTCATAAAATCTTTTTTTATTAATAAGTTTTTTTAATTGTGAAAATACTATCCAGAGGGGTTACAATTATATGAGCAAGGTCATGAGTACATTTCTTTTCTTTTTCTTTTTTTTTTTTGGGGGGGGGAGGTCCAGTCGTGGGGCCTGAAATCTGGGCCTGGGCGCTGTCCCTCAGCTCTTCAGCTCAAGGCTAGCGCTCTATCACTTGAGCCACAGCACCACTTCCGGCTTTTTTCTTTTTGCTTATGTGGTGCTGAGAAATCGAACCCAGGGCCTCATGCATGCAAGGCAAGCGCTCTACCACTGAGCCACCTTCCCAGCCCCATGAGTACATTTCTTATCAAGCATTGTTGCCTCCTCCTTTGTTTCCTCTTACCATCCCTGCCCTCCCATCCCGCTCCTCCACATTTCCCCCCAAAGTTGTAAAGTTCTTTAAAAACAAAATGTCTAAATTAAAACAGATTTATTTAATTTACATCTTTGCTGCCAATTCATATTCAAATACCAATAGTAGGCTGATTTTTTTAAATGAAAATTACAGTTATGTATATAGAAATTTCATCAAACCTCGTACCTCTCCCCACAAATCACCAAAAAGAAAAAAAGAAACAAAACAACAGCAAATAAAAAGTAACAAAACTAAGGGGCTAGGAAGGTGGCTCAGTGGTAGAGCACTTGCCTTGCATGCATGAGGCCCTGGGTTCGATTCCTCAGCACCACATAAGCAAAAAGAAAAAAGCCAGAAGTGGTGCTGTGGCTCAAGTGGTAGAGCGCTAGCTTTGAGCTGAAGAGCTGAGGGACAGCGCCCAGGCCCAGATTTCAGGCCCCACGACTGGACCAAAAAAAAAGAAAAAAAAGTAACAAAACTAAGGCCTCTAATCAATGTAAGTTTTAGTGTGCTCATTTTTCTCTAGATCTTCCTGATTTTTTTTTCACAGAACTTTATGAGTAAATTGAAAAGGACTAAATTCTCTGTTATTGTTGAAATACTAGACTCTTAGGACTTTACTATTAAGTAGAGGCAGAAAATAAAATAATGAGAGAAGGAAGTAACTCAGATTCTAAAGTGAGCCCATGAATCCAGTTTTCCCTTTAGATTAATGTCAATATGAAAAAAATTATGTAAATATATCAACTAGTTTGTACCTTATAGGAACACCAGCAGGCAAAATCCACACCCCAGTCATGTAAGTGGAGTTCAATGTTTCCAACTGCATGTGCTAGATCGAAGCCAACAAAACAACCCTAGGGAAGAACATAACTGGTTTGGAATTTGTTTAATGATTGTAAATCATGAGTATACATGTTTCTATGTAAATTATTAGGCACTCATTTGCCTAAAATGTAGATTCATTCTGTAGTTCACAATGTGTGATTTACAATAGCCAAGGCTACTAGATAAAATAAATTTTCATAATTGATACATCCTTCCTTTTTTTGTTAGGTTGATATTCTCACTGATGATGCAGAAGTAGTGATGGAGATAAAAGTCCAGGGACTGAGGGGAAAGAAAGTGGGAGAAAACAAGAGAGGGGGTAACAATGTTCAACAAGAAATGTATTTATTACTTTACTTATGTAACTGTAACCCCTCTGACATCACCCTTACAATAAAATAAAAATCACAAAAACACTATAACTTATTCTAAAAATCAATATATGTAATTGTGAAACAAGAATAAAAGTAAAATAAAAAATCCAGGAGCCTTAGGACCAAATACAGGATAAATCTTTTCTTTCATTCCTGGTAGGAAAGGGAGAACTCACTTTAAAATATCCTTGTAAAAGCAGAAAAATTCAGCTTTCATTAGATACACATAGAAAGCACTCAGCCACATTTTGTAATTTGTCTCAAACCAATGCAATTGTGCAATTCTTTGAGTTGTAAGCAGAGCTGATCATTTTTGCATAGTAACCAATAGATAATTTTAATTCAGGCTTGAGTATTTGACACATTATTTTGAAAATAAATAAGGTGTCATTTTAAGTTAAATAACCCACAGTATGCTTGTAACCAAAGATAAAGTTAGAGTTTCCAAGGAAAATTAGAATTTTGTAATTTGTGTCTACTTCTATGAACATATCTACCACCCATTGTTAAGAGGTATTGTTGAAGAGTTATATAAAATTTAAAAATCATTTTACCATTAAATAATCAGTATTTGGAAAGCTTACACAATTCAATGATATCCTATATCATACATAGCTAAAAGATCCACTCAAATTACATGGATTATAATGTGTCAGAATTCAGGAAGTTTAGTTACTTTCAAATCACATACCACATTGCTAAGAAGTTTTCATTCCTGAAAACCTGTTCATTATCAGAGAAAGTCCAGAATTAACTGCTACTAAAATACTCCTGCCTTTTTCAACTATATGCCTGTACAAATAAGATTGTTTTAATGCTCCATCCGTAGAAAAAGAGGAGTAGAAGCTGAAACAGATATAAGGAGCCAGGTATCTTTTAGGTTAGATATGTAAATAATAGTTACCAAATATAATGTGATGCTAATCTGTTTTGTTGTTTTAGAAAGCCCGTTTTAGCAATAACAAACTCCTTTTGTTTATATTTGTTGCCATTCTAAAACAAAAATATGCACATGCATATACATTTAAGTCTTAAAACTGCAGGTACTATAAATAGAGGTAACATATAATCACAAATCCTTTTGTAGATTCTTGATGACTTTTAGAAATGTAAAGTATTTCCATTTCTAAAACACTTCAGAACAGTTGCTTTGGTACATGCTAGTAATATGAGCAATCTTTTTTATTTAATATATACATTCCTTATTGTAAAGATATTGTTCAAAGGGGTTACAGTTACAAGAGTAAGGTAAGGAGTACATTTCCTATCGAGCATTGTTACCCCCTTCTTTGTTTTTCCCCTACCATCTCTTCCCTCCCCACCTCCCCAATTCCTCCCTCCCCACTCCTGGAAGTTGTAATTTTCAACACAGTGTCTTGTACATCTCATTGTTACAATGGGTCATCCTGTATCCTTATTTCAGCATTGTGTATTTTCCCCTCCCCTCCCCATTTTGAAAAATGTATATATAAGATGCAGGACACCCGAATCAAATACAGTGAACACAGGGGTTATACTTTGCATTAGCACTTAACCTACATCATGCCCACACTCAATTTAAGCGATGGGAAAAATGGTCTATGGCCATGTACTTGGCCATATAACTAACTATTCAGCTTCTACCAGTGGAGGTACCATAGATTTTCTTCTGCTGGGCTTAACCATGTGACTTGTTCTAAGCAATGAAATGTCTGCATACTAAACAAAAACACTATGTCCTGCCTTCTACTATCTCAGAGAAAAACTTGTTTGGGCTTACCCTCTTGTCCAGATGGAAAAGGAAAGAAACATTTTCACCTAAAATTTTCTGAATCCCTAATGCTGCCTCATCCCTGGGTGGGCTTGATGCAGACAGAAGTGAGTTCAAGTGAGAGATGAACCAGGCTCTCTAGCTCAGTCTTGATTAGATCAGCTTACCTGGAGGAGATCACTCTCCCAAGTAATGAGTATTGTTTCAAGTCAACAAGATTGATAAGCAAGAGCTAACATATACATTCAGAGCAGGGTACTATGTACATGGTAATAGGAGGCATAGTGTTAGTCTTCTGGGGGGGGGGGGGGACCAACAGTAGAAGCCGCAATATAGGAGGTTATGATATGATCAGTTAATGCTTGAGCCTCTCTTAGTTCCTGTCAGGAGACTATCTGTCCATGTTCAGTACTATTCTGTAAGTACAAATGCGTATTTAAATCCACTACACACCCTACTGAGAGCCAACTATGTCATCTGTTACTCAGTTCCTTCCTTCCTTCCTTCCTTCCTTCCTTCCTTCCTTCCTTCCTTCCTTCCTTCCTTCCTTCCTTCCTTCCTTCCTTCCTTCCTTCCTTCCTTCCTTCCTTTCTTTCTTTTTTTTCGGTCGTGGGGCTTGAGCTCTGGGCTTGGGCACTGTCCCTGCGTTCTTCAGCTCAAGGTGAGTGCTCTACCGCTTGAGCCACAGCAACATTTCTGGTTTTCTAGTGGTTTATTAGAGATAAGAGGTTCACGGACTTTCCTGCCCGGGCTGGCTTTGAACCACGATCCTCAGATCTCAGCTTCCTGAGTAGCTAGGATTATAGGCGTGAGCCACCGGGACCTGGCTTTACTCAGTTCCTTTAAATGGATTTCTATCTAATGACAGCAAGAAAAATAGTTACATTGTTTGAGAGATCATGGGTAATTTTGGCTCAATTGTGTCCTTCTCATATATCAATGTGAAGTTCTACTACCTTCTCAGGATCTGACATTAATTTGTCTTGGTTATTTACAATTGCACTGGTCATCATTATGTTTCCTAAATTTGGAATTCCTGTAGCATCTAAGGAACACATCTATTGACTTAAATGATATTCATGTTATAAACACTTTTAACAACATCAATTTAATTTCTTTTTCTAATACCCCTACAAGTAAGCAACCACGATCAACTTGATTGGATAAGCCAGTAATCTCAGAATTCAACAGGTGGAATGAATTCTAGGGCAGCCTAAGCTACTTAGTAAGATCTGTTCACTCCCAGAAAAAAAAGTACTCATAAAAAATTAAAAGCATCAATAATCCTATACTCTGGTTATTGGTATTTCTTGCTAACTATGACCTGCTTTTTTTTAATGAAAAAAGTGACATTGCAATGCAACAGAACCAGTGTAAATACTGACTATAGCTGCATTTGCACTATATACTGCAAGTTCCACAACAGAAGAGATTGCCTTGTTCTTAGTTATAGCATAGTTCACATAAAGAAAACAATATATTAAAAAATTCATTGAAAACTATACTCAATATAACTATATTTAGTATTTTATAAAAAGAAAAATTCTTATTTATAATATATACCTCATTTTGTATTCTAGTACTGGGAAGCTGATTTGTTTTTGTTTTGGTGTTGGGAATGGATTTGTTTTTGTTTCTTACCAAAATATAAAAAGATTTACCAATGTATGTTTATAAAAAGACAAGTTCTACATAATATAATATTTAAGAGTGATAGGGAACAAAGGGAATTAAGTTCCAACAACATTTGGAAGTTTATAAGTTGCCAAAATAAGGGCTCTCAGACTAATAAACAAGCTTAGGAGATCCATGTACTCATAACTTTGTATTTTAAGAAAAATTGTGCACCTAGAATTCTATTTGGAAATAAATACTAAAGTCATTCTGAATTTGTACAACTCTTTTATTCATTTCTTAGAACAGTGATCATTTTTAATGAAGACATTTTTCCAACTCAGGTTTTCATAGTTTTTTTTTGTACAACTCAACTTTCATTAGAAAACTTAAGAAGTAGGAGAGGCACTACTTTATTTTACTATTAATTATGTATAAGGAATGGAACTTTGAAGAGGCCACCCAAATTCTCCACCCAGCCCACAATATTAAAAGCCTTGAGGCCACAGCTGTAGCACACATGAGAAAATCACTTACGGCTGCTACGTTTTAATGCATGTACAGTTCTTTTTTTCAGTGTGGATATCAGAAACATAAATTATTAAAATGAGACTGATTGGAAGAAAAGACTGGAAGTTGCTAACTTGAACAAAATCATCACAAAATGAAGTCACTGAAATGTCACTAGATGGCAGTATCTTAAAAAATAATGAAAAAACTATCAAGAGCTATCAGGCACTATCAGTATTTTTATTATTTTACCTATAAATGTAGGTGACAATATATGCAACAAAAAAAACTCTGCACCTTCATGCATAATTTATTAATTTATAAGAAAAAGTTCAAATAATTGCTGGGCTGGGAAGGTGGCTCAGTGGAAGAGTGCTTGCCTCTTGCATGCATGAGGCTCTGGGTTCGATTCCTCAGCACCACCTAAGCAAATGCCAGAAGTGGCGCTCTGGCTCAAGTGGTAGAGCACTAGTCTTGAGCTAAAGAGCTGAGGGACAGTCTCAGGCCCAGAGTTCTGGCCCCATGACCAAAAAAAAAAAAAAAAGTTCAAATTTACGCATAGATGTTTACTTCTTGTTTGTGTTTCCAGGATCACATGTGACTGAGCATTGATCACCCAGCACATCACCTTAATACCTACTCAACGCCCTAATTATTGCAATCCTGCAAAAGTCATCGGAATGCTTCTACTGGGCTTTTCCCCAAAGAACGTTATAATCATACATGTAAATATAAAGGTTTCCCTGTTTTCTTTGGGGGGGGAGGGCTATGAGGGGGGGGA